TTGTGAAATTTTGAGGCGTTACACTAATATTATTCAATTTTAAAATCAAACATGGGCTAAGTTAGTTTTAACTTATTATTAACTTCTATGCATGCAAGCATACATAAAATTATATCCGTTCCATTTATATACACTGATTTTGTTTTGCAAAGGAATTTTATTTAATATTATTAAAAAATCAATTTTTGCAAGGAGTTTTTCTAATTTACGCTTATTTAATTATTAACTACTATTAGTAGTACTTAAAAATAATAGTGGGAAATAATACGAACCACTTAAACTCTACTCACTCCGAGAACGGTGTGTATGTATTTAGATGATTCCAAGAAGTAGGTAAATTAAAATCTGTAAAATATCAAGATTAAGTGCAAAAAATTGGTTATAATTAAGCATATTAAATAAGTATATATTAGTAAATGAACAAAATAAATACACTCTCAATTAAAAAAATGACTATAATTTGAGACAAGAAAATAAGAAAAGTCAACTTATATAAATGAGATGCAGGGAGTAATATTTTTTCACTGAATAATATTATTCATAGTGAAAATTACGAATAGTCGTCCTACATGGCATACACGTGACAATTTATTATTTAAAGTATTTATTGCCTCATGTATCAAATAACAAATTGCTACGTGTATGTCACGTATGACGACTATCGATAATCTTCACTATAAATAATATTACTGTTTTTTACTTAGGAATGTGATGGCCCACACCGTCAAGATTTCCGTACCACTATCAAGATATAACAAGGACTGGAGCAGTTTACACAACTTTCTTTCTAATTATGTTCAATTTATCATAAAGTGTCAATACGAAGTATCAAATTCAATACAGTTTCTTTCTATAACACATTCTATAAATTTGTTGGAAGTTAGAGATTTAATCAACTTCCCGAGATTTTTAGAAAATTAGGTCATAATTGAAAGTTAAATAATCTATTTCAATCAAGGTGTCCTTGCACTCTGGTTCTGATTCATTCTTTATTCCAACCCAGGCTAGTTGACATTTCGGTTTCCGACCATTTTGAGTCATTTTTTCTATTTTTGTAAGAATTTGTGGCCAAAATGTTGAATAGAACTCTCAAAGAAGTATGATAATAGGAAAAATTTATGGGCTAAAAAATTCAAGGGCAGCGTTGACTCATGCAAAATTTCATTATTTATGAACTCATAACTTGTAAACTCGAATTTGATTTAAAATTTGAATACCATTAAACATATTTGGAATATGAGAATACATTAATAATTCATCGTGCAAATGTTGATATCAAATTAGCAACTGTACTTGATTATCGAGAATGTCTTCAACAATTATTGTTGGCCAAATAATTCCACACGATTGCCAATAAAAAAATGGGCAAACTAATCATGAGGAATAGGTTACCAACTTTAAACGGGTTTACTATGCCAAAACAATTAAATGAAACACTCTTTCCTTATAAATAAATAATAATAGTAAACATATTAATACGACTTTATTTACCCGACAATTATCCTTCCTTGCAGTCTCTGCTAAGCATTTAATTCGTTTTTCAATCATTTTCTCACACGTTTTTTTACATTTCTTGACGTGACAATATTTATACTTTTGATTTTAAATTTATCTATCACATCATTGTTTATATTTCCTCCACTCAAGAGAATGTGGACTATTTTGCCAGAGGAGATGTGAATTACTCATATATTATTCTTCATTTTTCACTTTTGTGCTGTAGAATTCTTTTCCCTCTCAGAAAGTGTTACAATACAACAGAAAGTTAAGCCCTTTTCCTGTTCTCTTCCTCCAATTTTTTCTGTCTTTTACTCTTCTTGGGTTTTTCTTATCCCACTTGAATTTGCCTCGGAACTTGATTTCCATGGGGAATTCTCTTACTTTAATTCCTGGGTTCTGCTCTTAAAGCTTGAAGATCTGATCTTTCTTGAGTTTTCACTTTGAATTTCCTTCAAATGGTTTGATTTTCCCAATTTCTAGATCACAGGGTCTTTAACTTTACCTTTTTCATTTGCTTATTTTCTTGAATCTACTCACAACTGGGATATTGATGCCATGGGACTTTGTCATGGAAAACCCGTTGAACCTCCACAAAATCTTTCTGATAATCCAATAATGCCAGGTGAAATTAATGAACATACTCTGAATTCTTCAACTGGGAAAACACCAAAATTCCCATTTTACAGTCCAAGTCCCTTCAAGAACTCACCTGCAAATTATAGCATCACTTCAACTCCTCTCCGATTCCTTAAGCGCCCATTCCCTCCACCATCACCAGCTAAACATATAAAGGCATTTCTTGCAAGGAGGTATGGCTCGATGAAGACTAATGAGGCCACTATACCTGAAGGGAGTGAGTGTGAGATTATTGCTGTGGACAAGAATTTTGGGTTTTCAAATAATTTCATCAGCCATTATGAGCTTCAGGAAGAATTGGGGAAGGGGCATTTTGGGTATACTTGTGCTGCTAAGGGAAAGAAGGGAAGCTTGAAGGGGCAGGATGTGGCTGTTAAAGTTATCCCAAAATCAAAGGTCTGTCTTTTGATGGCAGAAAGTTTTTCTTCCTATTACTTTTGGTTTGTTGATTATATTTATAGCTTATAACTATATATAAAATAATATCAATGACTCTTGCCTTTTCGATTATTTGACTCTTTTGCTCATCTACCAAGCTTTCTATCAGTTTCCGCGTCCTGACACGTCCATTGATATCAATTTGTTAGTGGTGATGATAATTGGGTTAATTACTTGAATCATGCTAAGTGTTATTGCTTAATAACTGAACTTAAAAAATATATCACAATGGTTACCGAATTTCGCCAGTGTTACGGAACTATGCACCGTATTATCCATCCATCACTCAAATAGGAAAATCCGTTTGGTTCAACAAATGGCGTTCACTTGAGTGATGAATAGGTAACACAGTGCATAATTCAATGATCATTGAGATACATTTTTAAGTTCAATTATTAAGTAGTCACATTTAACAAAGTTAAATGACTATTGAAGTAATTAAGCCTATGATATATGGGAGAGGAAACGAAAGTAAAAAAAATGCATGATTTAAACTTTTTTCATTTTTAATATGAGAGTTGCAATTTCTTATTTTCTTAGTGCAATCTACAGTATTTCACTGTAACAAAGAAGAGGGTTTGCTCTCCTTTTTCTCTAGGTCTAAAACGGCTCGTCTTATTATCTTATATAGAGGGAGAAATATTAGGTCATTCGGCAGTCAGAGAGAGAGAGAGAGGTGTTATCTTCTGATCAAGATCATCATCTCTTCCAGGCTCCATAAATTTCTACTGCTTTTATCAATGCATCTTGTAACTCTAAATCTTTTTAACACCACTGGCCATTTCTGATGCTTTATCATGTTCAGAACGCTCACCTTATCTGTATCTGCCGATTCTGGTCAACTTTGTTGAATATATTTTTGCGCGTGAAATTGTTTTGGGTGGTGCATATTTTGGGGAGACTAAATGCGAAAAGTCTCATCCATATCTTCATAGTGATATCTTTCTGTAATGGGGTGAATATATACTGGTTAAAAATAATCAAAAATTCAAATCTGATAATGGATCACCTCTAATATGGAAAGAATCTGGCTATATACAATGACCCAAGACTTCGTGGTGGAAAGCAGGGGCGGACCTACATGAGGCCTAGTGGGGGCGGCCGCCCCCACTCAATTTTCAGATTTATTTTAGTTTTTTTTGTTCAGATTTTTTTAGGTTTTCAGATTTTTTCCAATGTTTTTTGGTTTCGCCCCCACTTAACTTCCTTCCTGAGTCCACCCTTGGCGGAATGTAAATGGGTGGTGGAAAAGTCTATATTTAGAACGGTCTAATGATTAAATGGCATTGACATTATGTCAAACTTTATATTCATGTAGAATGATTGCATNATTGAGATACATTTTTAAGTTCAATTATAACGTAATAACACTTGACAAAGTTCAGTGATAATTGAGATATATTTTTAAGTTCACTTATTGAGAAGTAACAATTTCTTTTTCTCTCAAATCGACCTCTAAGAAAGAAGAGTCTAAAGAAAATGAAGGGAAAAAAGATGAAAAATCAAATCGACATCAATTACCTTGGCACTAATTCGAACATTTTTATACTCTTATGTAATTTTTCACTGTCAATTTCTTTCAGCATTCCCACTGTCTCTCTTTTAATTTTTTGTGCGAAATTCAAGATATGGTGAACTGATACTAGTTTATCCAAAAATCAAACATACTTTTGGGCAGTTGCTAAAAAAGGGAATATACTATTTGAGGATTTAACGACGATGCAAATCATTCAGAGCTAATTTAGCATTGTACATCTTTCATTTGGGCAGCAAAATTTTCAGTTGAAGACTAATGTCATCCATTTATTTTAGAATGGACATTAGCAAAAGTTCTATTTTTATTTGATTTATAGGTCTCTGATTTTCTGTTTTCTCTTTTTTCCTTTCATTTTCTTTGATTTCTTCTTTCATAGAGGTCGATTTGAGGGACTTAATAATTGAATTTAAAAATATATCTCAATGATTACTGAACTATGTCAAGTGTTACTACTTAATAATTGAACTTAAAAATATGTTTTAATGGTCACTGAATTTCGCCAAGTTCTATTACTTAATAATTGAACTTAAATGTATCTCAATGGTAACCGAACTATGCACCGTGTTATTCATCCATCGCTCAAGTTGACGCCATTTGTTGAACTTAATGGATTTTCCTACTTGAGTGATGAATGGGTAACACGGTGCATAGTTCAGTTATGAAGTAGTAACATTTGGCGAAGTTCAGTGACCTAATATTAAGATACGTTTTTAAGTTCAGTTATTAAGTAGTAATACTTGGCAAAATTCAGTAACCATTCAAGTAGACGTTAATTGCTTGTTATTGTTTAGTCTTGAGTGCGTTTTGTACGGAGACTAGCTGCAACTATTCACATTTCTCCTTTTTATGCATATTAGATTTTTAAAATGCGAAAAACAACATGAGGTACAAATAACACCGTTTAATACCACACCTCTTCTGAAAGTATTTTTATTGAGTATTCACACATCAGAGTTCATTTGTCGATGCTATACAAAGGGGCATCAGTAACTTCAAAACTGCCATTACTGTTCTTGTGAGTATTTCAATTTGATGTAATAGCCAAATTATCAAAAATCTTATAATTTGACAAAAAGATTTGTGTGATTTCAGAGAATTTTGATGTTGGCTGGGTGGCTTTTTACTATTCCATTTTGGAATATTATTTTTATGTTCACCTAGTAACTATGGATCATGCAGATGACTACAACTATTTCTATTGAGGACGTTAGAAGAGAAGTGAAGATGTTACGTGCACTAACAGGACATAAGAACTTAGTGCAATTTTATGATGCATATGAAGATGAAGACAATGTATATGTTGTGATGGAGTAAGTTTGGAATTTGAACTGTTCAATTTCGCTAACTTGGTTTTGCTTCTGCTGTATTTTTTATTAGCTAACCTTAATTGCTTGTGGTGGCATTGAGTATTTTGACGGTGCTCAAAAATATGTCAAACATAATTTTCTAGGAAACTAACTTTTAATCACAGTGAAACATACTTTAAAATCATACAATATGATTTGACAAATTTCAAATTCTCGTTTTAAATGTGTGGACCTCATTTTCCAACCATCAGTCACCTGGTGGCCATGCAGACTGTTTGAAGTCCACCCCCGACCGTCCTTCCTGGGTCCCCAAATATGAAAATAAAGATTAGAACGGTGTATCATGCTTTGCTTTTGGAGCGGTCTTATGTATAATTTGCATTGCATTCAAAATTTGAAGTTTTGGAGCTCATCTACACCTATTTTCCCCTTCTTTTTTTGCAGGTTATGCAAAGGAGGAGAATTGTTGGATAGTATACTCTCTAGGTTATTTTAATATTTCTCTTTTTCTATATTTGGTGCATTTATCTTTCGCTTCTGTCCTTCTAACTAATTTTCCACACTTTTGCTCTAGGGGTGGCAAATACTCAGAAGAAGATGCTAAAATTATCATGGTGCAGATTTTAAGTGTCATGGCTTATTGTCATTTCCAAGGTGTGGTTCATCGTGACCTAAAGCCTGAGGTATTCAGCTACTGATATCCCAAATTTTGCTTTTTACACTACATGATGGCTTCCTCAGATATTTAAACCTTTAAATTGTGTTTTTCTGACAAAGAATTGTTAGGCATCAAGTTTGTTGAATATGCCCATTCTATGCACAAGCACCAAGGAACCGTTCCTTTTACATTGCCCTAGAATACACATTCTTCTATTTTGTTTTCATTGTTGAATCTCTTAGAGGATTTTCATGGCCCTTTTTCTGTGAGGAAAATTATCTAATTTGAATTAATATAAAAGTTCATCAGAGAATAAAATGACATTTTTTTCATGGTGGTGCTAGCTGGTTGATGTTATTAATGGAATGTGTAACTGATAGTTTAGATTGAGCATCAATTGGACTCAGAAACATCTATATTCAATGAATGTATTTGGACTTTGGAAATGACCTCATGATTGTATATGCATTCATGTATCAGTTTCAGACTTGGCTTCCTTCTCTTCCCTTCCCTCCCCTCCCCTCCCCCATATGTGTCTTCCCTATTTTGCAATGAGGGAGGGGGTCGGAGGGAGTCGGAGGTGTCTGATAAAGCCAGCATTATGGACTCGTTTGGAAAGACAAAAACGAATTTTGGACGCTTTTATACTAGCTCATGCAGAATTGTCTTGCTACAAGTATCCCCTATTCTGAAAATTTAAGATTTATTGATTGATGTGGTACATCTTCTTGTAGAGGCAACTTGGCCAGCCTGGTTTAAATCTAGACGTTGAATTGCAATTGATACTTAAATTTCAAAGTTTTGACTGTCTTTTGATTAGTGTTCTATTACGCGCTAGACGCTGTCAAAATGCTTTGTCTTGACATTAAGCGTGAATTAAGCTGTCAACTGCTAAGTTGACTGCATGTCTAAGCGCGCTTTATTAATTTTTTTTTATTTTTCTCCTTGTCTTAAAAACCTAGAAAGTATGCATGGAGTTCCTATAAATCTCTAAAGTAAGACTTGTCTAGTTAAAGTTGAAATTATAAAAAATCGTTTAGATTTTGCATTGAAATTTGTATAATGGACTAATTGTATGAATTATTAAGTAAATATAACATTTTATGATTTTAGATATTTGGTATGTTTTATTTTAATTATTAAATGATTTTTAAAATGATTAAGTATTTAAAATAATAATAAAAACAAGTAATGCTTTTTTATCCCTAGGCTTCGCTTAGGCTTGCCTAAGCTCGTAAAGTTTGAAACTTCGGCCTTCACGTCTAGCCATACTTTACGCTTTTTAGAACAATACTTTTCATAATTAGGGTCATTCATTATTTTTTGGTCCTTTCTTTGAGATCAAAAAAGGTTAGATCAGTTGATTTTCCATGCACACATAACTAAATGTGTCGATAGAGAGGACTGTATTCTCTTCTTATGATGTGTGCTCCCAGGGGCACACATGCAAGAAGAAATCTTGAGCCTTTTTTCTCTCATCTTCTTAAATAGATTTATCTTTTTTTACTGACACTTTCTATGTTTTGCTTCAGAATTTTCTCTTTAGTTCGAAAGATGAGTCGTCGCCTCTGAAGGCCATTGACTTTGGACTCTCTGACTATGTGAAGCCAGGTAATCTATTGCTAAATCTTTCGATGCTCTTCTCATAATTGTCGTATATTAAAGTTGATAAATGGATATTTTTGCAGATGAAAGGCTGAATGATATTGTTGGAAGTGCTTACTATGTGGCACCCGAAGTTTTGCATAGATCATATGGAACAGAAGCTGACATGTGGAGTATTGGAGTTATTGCTTATATTCTTCTTTGTGGAAGCAGACCCTTCTGGTCTCGGACAGAATCTGGGATCTTCCGAGCTGTCCTAAAGGCTGATCCAAGCTTTGATGAAGACCCATGGCCTTCTTTGTCTTCTGATTCTGTAGATTTTGTAAAAAGATTATTGAACAAGGATTATCGTAAAAGGCTAACAGCGGTTCAAGCTCTTAGTAAGTAGCTAAACAACGTTAATTTAATGTTTGGTATGCAGTTTATGACAAGGCTGGATGGTATAATGTCCAAGGTTTTAGCTTCTTTTTCTTACTTGATACTATAGTGTGTTATCCTATTCTCCCACCTATTATACCATAAATATGCCATGTAAATGAAAACAATTCTTGCATTAGACACCATGCATATCTTTGTTTCTTGTCATTGGCAAATTTTGTTAAAAGATGAATTTAGTCTGGAAAATGAAAGACATTGAATAGCCCTTTTACTTGGTTCACCAACTACGTTTGTGGAAGTTTTGGTGTTTATGTTTGGTAACATAGTATTCTAATACACATGTACTGGTTATCTTGTTTAGGTCATCCATGGCTGACCAACCATCATGACGTCAAGGTACCTGTGGATATGATAACGTATAAGCTTGTAAGAGCTTATATATATTCTTCTTCTCTGAGAAAAGCAGCTTTAGGGGTATGTATATTTGTCTGTAGATAAGAACCTTCTTTCAAAATTTAGTTGATTGTCCAACATAATGATGAATATTTTGTGAGATGTTCAACTACTAATTGCTAACGAAGTATAAAATTCATCTGAAGGAGTATTAACTTATTACAGTTCTTTTATTCTTCTTAAATCTTCAGATGAGTCCTTTTTATGCTTGCCAAACACGTTTTAGTTTATATTAAATGGGCTTGATTGAAATATCTGCTCTGCCACTGTAACAGGCTCTTGCAAAAACACTGGCAATACCACAGTTAGCCTATCTCCGAGAACAGTTCTGTTTATTAGGGCCAAGCAAAAATGGATTTATATCCCTTTATAATTTCAAAATGGTTAGTTCCCTTTCACCCTTTCCCCCCTTACCCCCTCACCCACAAAAGAAAGAAGAAATTGGGAAAAAAAAATGATAAGAAAAAAAGATAAGAAAAGAGCTTTCTGTGTTTAGTTTATTAATCTTAATCCTATGTAAGCAGGCTGTGGCAAAGAACTCGACCGAGGCAATGAAGGATTCACGTGTTCTAGATTATGTAAACATGGTAAAACTTTCACCAACTTTTCTTTGAAAATGTTCTTTCCTTGATTTTAGGTTTATAACCTCTCAGCACCATGGCTCGGCCTTAGTACAATATTAGTGATAAGAATTGCTAATGCATTTTCACCTATCATCTAGGTGAGTTCTCTTAAATACAGAAAATTGGATTTTGAAGAATTCTGTGCGGCAGCTGTAAGTGTACATCAGCTGGAAGGCATGGAAAATTGGGAGCAGCAGGCACTCCGTGCCTTTGACTTTTTTGAGAAAGTTGGAAACCGGGTGATTAAGATAAAAGAACTTGCTTCAGTATGTTCTCTCTCTCTCTCTCTCTCTCTCTCTCTCTCTGTTGCGAGCCTGCACCTATTGTTCGGTTTTGTCTCCATGAATTTAGCTGTTTTAACTTTCTTAATGGATCGTGGCCTCATTATTGATTTGGTGATGTTCAATGATTAATGTTGTGATACTATATCCACAATAATTGGGAATTACAATATTCTCATGGGAGGTCGGTTTTCTTTACAGTTAGAAAATCTTCTCAAGTTTGATTCTAATGGCTTTAATTTGATGAAGTGTTAATAGATTATGGTGCAGATTCTTATTTTTCATTTCCATACTGTGAAAAAATTACCTGACATCCATCTTCTTTCCAAGCAGGAGCTTGGACTTGGTCCATCTGTTCCCATTCAGGTAGTTCTTCAAGATTGGATCAGACACTCAGATGGGAAGCTAAGCTTCTTGGGATTCGTCCGACTGCTTCATGGAGTTTCTTCCCGTGCACTTCAGAAGGTCTGAAATATGGTCGCGCTCTACTTGCTGCATCTGCAAAATCTCCTTGAAGGCTTGAACTTTACTGCTTGAATAAGATCAAGGATTGTCCAGCTCTGGGGCTCCATCACAGAAGGTTGATATAAGTAGAAGGTTATAGCTAGTTGCAGCTATCGTTTCAGTATGTATTCGATCCGATAAGTTCCCTTTACTCCCAATATTTGGTGGGATTTGAAATTTAGAGAATTGTAAAGCTGAGATTAGATAAAAATGTATTTTGGGCTAGAAAAAGAAGTAAATTCTGTCTTTTGGCTGTATCCCCTTGTGTACCCCAAACCCATAAACTAATTTCACCCTTTCACAGAAAAAGAGACATTTCACGATCTGCATCTGTTCGCCAAGGTTTCATCCTACTGTTATCAGCAGTAGCATTGGAAACATATTCTCTAGTGAAGTGCTTTGACAACATGGCTGCCGAAGGCGCAGTTCTTGATCCAGGATTGAATGGACGTGGTCTAGTCCAGATTCCCCGGCTCAGTTATACTGAATCAAGTCTTGACTAACCTGACTGGTTGACCTGTCTGCTTAATTAGCTTATCAACGGACCAGAACTTGGGCATATTGAAAGATAAGCCCATGCTGAAGGTTCCCTTGTCCTGAGTCCTGACGGTGCTAATTTCGCATTGAGCAATGCCGTTGATGATGTCCAAAAATGGACATTACCAATATTGAGCTCAAGGTTGGTGTCGGGTTCTCTTGGCATTCATGTTGGTACTGCTAGTGCAAAAATGGCGAAGGGGACGATCAAGTGAAAGAGGGGAGAGTGTACATACTTGTATGCAAAGTGGCTGTTCGGACAAAACCCGTAAGTGTATGGGATCATTGATAAGTAGTAATGTAGTGAGTGAGTTATCGTTCCATGAGGAATAAATGTAATTATAGTTTACAAGTTTCTACCAAATTCGATGATTGTAACACAAAAGAGTTGATATTTTTGTTTTAATTCTAATTAAACTATGAAAATTATAAGCAATTGGTTTTTAATCAAATACGAGATGAATGTATTGGATTTCAGAATCCACCTATTTGTAAGTGATATGCCCTAGACCCAAACGATTCAGGTTATAAACATTTTTCATATGTTTAATGTATTTAATTCTGGTAAGATCTATTATTTATTTATATTGCTTTTCTATAGAAATTATATTAAATAATAGAATCCGAAGATTTAAGTCTT